ATATAATATATATACTATATTAAGAAAGTTCTTGTATTTTAATTTTATACATCTTAATGTATAAATACAAAATGTTTTTAAAACATCTAAAAATTATATTCCTTTAGTCCTCAACAGAACAACATGACTAAACAAATCACACTTCAGGTAATAAAGACCTTTTATCATGTATTTCGGTGCAAGCAAGCCCTAAGCACACAGAGCTGTGATTTAAACACAGTGGCACTGTTCACTGCTGACCTGGGATGAGCATTACACTTAAAATGCTTTGCAGTTTTGCAGAATGCAGAAATTCCAGCTTTACACCAAATCAAAGTCACCTTGTCTACCTAAGACAATTGGCCCATTAAATCCAGATGATTTAATACAATTGTTTTACCTGAAACACAAGTCCTTTGCTGTATGAAGAATCTAAAACTGGCTGAAGAGAAAAACGACTTAGTCGTGTGTAATAGGTTCCATACTCTGCAACTTCCGAGAGTAGGCTGTGCATTGTCTCTGGTGAAGTTCCAGATACATATACCCCCTCCTTTATCACAAACGTCTGAGCAGCCTAAAAGGATATAGGGAGGAAAAAAAACACCAATTCAAGTATTTCATAGCTGGATTCTGATTTAAAAAAGCAAACATTTACACACAAAAATAACAGCAGACAAATTTTCAGTTTAGACACTCTGGTGACTAAGACTATATAACTATGACAGTGTGATAAACATACTAAATTGTAACAAAATTTCAGGAGTATGAATGGTGCTTTCAAATATACAGAATAAGACTCATTATCTAATTTCTTAAAGAAAATCCAACCTACAAAACTATTTACACATCTATTTTCAAGTATTCATAAACCTATTTTCAGTTAGAGGACTACAAATACTCTTAGCCAATTGCAATAATATCATTATTGCAATATATAAATACTGCCTTATTGCCATTAGATCACATTCAACTTTTTAACAGTATCCACAAGTCTCAAAAGAAACAAACGTATTGAAGAGGAAAGCTTTACAAAGAAAAAAAGAAAAAGATGTGACTAAGAAGGACAGTTAAAAATCTTCCATACCTGATTGAGTGAAAATGTAGTGGATACCACACCAATGAGGACATTCAAGACATCCTTCACCAGTTCAGGTTCTTTCATTAGCACAAGCTGTGGAAGCTGAAGTACAGTATTACTGAACAGCTGCAACTCCCCTTCTCGAAGTTTGTAAAATTTGTCAAAAGCTTCTCTCCCAGCTTCAGTAAGATATGGTTCCTCTTTTTTACCAGGTGGGCTGCGTCAGAGTAAATACAACATTACAAGGTGATTATACAAAAAAAAAAAAGTGTATCTCCTGAAGCAAAAACCAGGCATTTCAGAATTTCACACAGCCAGTACTGACCACAAAAAAAGTGGTCAGTATATAATACAATACAATATAATAACTAGTAATATAGTACATTTTCAAGGGAATGTGCATTCAGCCAATGAAACTGTAGCCCAAAATCAGTACAGTAAAGAAATAGGTAGATAATTTGAACATCAGTGCAGAGACAGAGAATTACCAGCTTCTTTTGTGGCCTTCCCTGATGCAGTTTTCCCATTAGGAAAATTAGGTCAATATATACCAAATTTCCAGGGTCCATGTTATACTAATATTCAAATATGTTAAAGAGCAATATGCTCAAAATGCTATAATGACTTGTATTAACACATTTTAGCTCTTCCCAGTGAGGATTCCTATCCCCTCCAAAACAATTTCTCCTTCCAATTCTTCCAAAAATTCTGAATTCTATTAGCATGTATTACAAGAAAGCTGTCAGACATACGGTCTACATTTGACTCTAAGATCCTTACAGTCGAAATGTTAGCAAGGAAAACTGTCTTGCACTAGGAACAAAGCTAGAGTGTGCTACAGTGGCTCTGAAAAATCGGATCAGGGAACTTCTGAGTTTCTGAGCTTCTCCGGCTCAGAGTTGAAAAACACTGTATAACACTGCAACAGACACATCACTACGTTATTACTTAAAATTAGAGAAAACATACAGAGCAAAGTTCCTCCAAGAATGAGGCACACCACTGTCCATCAGGAACGTAAGGAAGATACCTGCCATACTTGCCTTTTTTTTTTTTCTTCCATTTTAGAGAAGCTATGAAGTTTTAACAGGGCTATATAGAACCTTCTCTCAGGAGACGCATCTTCTACTCAACAGCCAAAAGAACTAGAAGTCTAAGCTTCAAGAAATCTGTTACAATAATTCCTGTTTTGGTTACAGACAGGGAAAAGGAATACAATACTGTACGATACTGGGAGATACGGGTTTAACTATTCTAGTGCTCTACAACTACCACTTTCTCTTCTGAAGCTGAAAATACGGAATAATTTCAGACTGAGATAAATTGCATAGTGCATAAGAAGTCAGATTAGGTAGAAAAATATTGCATTTCACACAAACAGCAAGTGTTCCCATAATCCCTTCAGTGTTTTTGACAAAGATGTTTTTGTTTTACCTCTTCCTATGAAACAGGTGCAATCTAAGAACTAGTTTGTTGAAACTGCATGACCTTTATTTCTTTCTCAATCATTAATGCACTATATTGAATTCTGTGAACTAAATATACACATTTCACTATTTATACTGAGGTAATTCTGAACTAAGATGAAATGCACCTTCATACATTTGCATACGATGCATAGTAAGTTTGTCAGTAACATCAGACACATACTATCCAATTCTTTCCCAACATCTTCGTTTGCTGGGTCCATACGTAAGCACTGCATCCCACAAGTCTATGTCTGGAGTGATGCTTGGCTCTGACTGAGAATCGGGAGTCAGATTGGATGCTGACTGGAATCCCTCATCTTCTGACTGGTCTATACTTTGGGGAACCTGTCAGAGAGAGTTCAAATGTTATACATGAAAACATTTTACTGAAGAAACATATGCTAATAAAGATATTCCGCAATCATTCGCGATCAAGTGACTCTACATGACTCGGCCTGTGTCGTCCAACCTCCCTTTATATCTATTTTAAGTTTTTCCTGTAAGCACTCTTTTCATTTGGTACGTCTCTACAGGTATTAATGCCTATACATAAAACAACAATCACCATCAAAATAGTATACTAAGTTTGCCAGTGTTAAACTTGAAACTTACTCCTTTGGTAAGCGTATAGTTCTACAAATTGAGAATCTGAGGTCTGGATATTCAACAACATGCAACACTAACAAAATCATTCTGCTCAGTATTTTTTTTGAGCAAATGATTCAGACCCTAATTCTTCAAATTTGTAAACATTTTATTAACTATGACTAACATAATTTGTTCCCTTACACTTATTCATATGCAGAAAATCTGCAGGTGTCCAAATAGTGTATATGCCACATCTGCAACTCCCACTCAACAGGAGTTGTATGTGCAGAATAGTACTCCATGTTAGTAAAAGATAATCACAGCCACGTAAAAAGCAGCATGTTCTTCAAGAAATCGCAAATTTTCCAGTCTGATGAAGAGAGTACGGCACTTACTCAAAAAGGTTCTGCCTCCCCTAAGCTACAACTTACATCTGTGTGTGCACATTGAATGGCACAGGAGTTTTCTTTTGCACATGTCTGCCTTCAAGTTTCAATTAAGACCCTGAGTTAAGGGAATTGCAAGAGCTATCCATATGTTAAGCAGAGGGAACAAAATGAGGATTAGAAGTACAGAAGTATAAAAAACCTACCTACACAAAGTAAAAATGTAAAGAAAGAATAAAACACAGCAAAAATAAACAGAATGGATAGCAAAAGGGGAAAATAAATACAGTACAAACTATATGCATTGAAAAGGTAAAAGGTAAAAGGACAGTGGGAACTAGGAGGTTAAATGAAATGTAGTAACTGAAAAGAATGTTTTAAGATACAACAAGCCAAGAGAAAAATACAAGTTAGGTAATATAACGCGAACAGCAAAACACATACATTCAGACAGGAATGCTTATGCAGTCAGGCTGAACAGTAAGCAACAACACAAAGGAGTTCAATATACAAAGCAGGCAAAAACGCAAGCGAAAGATTACTAGCGTGGGAAGGCACAGATAGAGCTGATGGCTTAACTTCATAAAGCCTACGGCCACATGATGGTTTTTCAGAGTTTTAGGACAAAAGCTTATCTGGTTCTCAGAAAAGAAAAGGATCCCTGCTCCATCTTAAATTCCAACGCTGTATGCTTCTATTACAAATCAAACGACTACCTATATTTTAAACTATAGTTTCAAAGCGGCATATTGAAAGCATGCATACACTCTTAAGTCCAAAACAAACGATAACATACTTTAATTGCAAGTCCGGACAAATCTGCGTTGTCAGGCACTGGTGGTAAATCCAGCTTGATGTCCATATCATACGTACGGCTATGGACAAGAGCACCAAAGAGCGAGACCCGTGTTTCTTTCTCAAACTTGTCACCTGCAGGATAGTTCTGTGAGAACAACCCTATGGCAGGGAGTCCAGTGCCAGGCGCAGCCTCCATGATCTGAAGCGTCTTTTGAATTGTGTCGTTGAACTGACATTCTTCGTTTGTTATTAGAGATTGTATATCAGCTTCAAATACACTTACATCATAATAATCATAACCTTGATACTTGACATTTCTCCCAACGTATTTGTTGTTCAGAAAATAGTCCTTTTTTTGTGGTACAAGCTGAGGAGGACCTGTTCCAGCCAGCTGTACTAAGAGATCCAAGACAGAATTAACTTCATTAAAAGGTAAGCATTCAGCTGTTTCCAGTTCCTCCACAAGATTCTCCAGTCTATCCGCTTGAGCACCTAGGCCACCAACTCTCAAGTTGAAAGACAGCATCAAAATTTTGTTTTTCACTGGAAGCCTGGAAACGTTTGATTGCAGCTTATGAGCCTCATCTTGAAAAAGGTTTATGAACAGGGCATTATAAGCAACCCTTTTCAGATTTCGCTTAGCCCTTCTCTTGCTGATCTTCTGCCTGCCCAGGTGGACCTTCCATGGCAAACCCGTCAAGTGTGCTTCACACAAATCATTGAACAACTGCGTGATGCTCTCCATTTCAAATCAAATTCTTAAGTTACAGCAGTTACAGTCTGGGTCTCTGGTTTCATGCGAAGACCTGAAAAATACCAGGAAAAGGAAGAAACACTTGTAACATGTACGAGAAACTGATGAATATGCTTTAACTTGAACTGAGACATCCCAAAATGAGAGAGAAAAAAACTGACCTAGCACATATTTAGGACGTGAGTTATAAAAATAACACTGTGACTTTGATCACAAGCAAGGCGATGGTGGTGCAAGCCTAATTCCAGACGCCTGGCTCTGCTCGGCAGACTGAACTAGAACAGAGAAGATTGTCCTGATCTGATACAGGATCCGTGCGGGAACACTTCCGAAAGCTTTGCCACTCCAGCTTTCCTCAGGAGCCGGCCGCCGCCTGCTCCCCCTGCGCGGCGCCCTCAGCAGA